TGTGCAGCCCAGGCTGTGTGGGCCACAGCACGTCACTTAACCTCTCTGAGCCTCCAGTCCTTGCCTGTTAAGTGGGAGCGGGTGGGGGAGAAACTGCTGCCTCGTAACCTGGCAGAGCTGTTGGGAGCACTGGCGATAGTATAGGTGACACCCTTAACTGACCTTGCGGGTTCCAGTAAATTATAGCCAGGGCTACTCTGTGCTCCATGATGTGTAACAGAGCAGAACCACCCGAGGCCCACATGTGTTAGTGCTTTTAGCACCGCCGAGTCCCCTTAGCTTCCCGAGCAGGTTGTAAACTTCTGGAGGGCGGAGGATATCAAGGTTAGATACCATCTATGAGCACCTGGTTTGGGGCTTGGAGACAAACACCTCGTCTCTTGAATCCTCAGCAGCCCAGAGCTGGGCACGCAGGGAGTCGGGGGGGGGGGGCTGCATTTGGACGTCTGGCTCCAAAGCACCTGCTGCCCTCGCTGTCTCAGGTGCTCTGCCCCCTGGAGCCCTCCGACCCCCCGTGCCCTGCTGGGCACCAAACTGGCGCTCAGGCAAGAGGCTGGAAGCATAACCTGAGCCTCAGAGCCCAGAACTGCAGCACCCAGTTTGACTCTGGTTTGCCACTTCCCGACTCAGCAGAGACTCATTTTCCTTCTTTTTTTTTTTTTTTTTTTTAAAGATTTTATTTATTATCTAAGGGGGGAAAACATCAATATTCTTTTCGTGCATCCCCTGTGGACTGCCTGCAGTGCCATTCAGGCGGTTCTCATTTTCCTTCTTGTAGTATCTAAAGCAGGATGGAAAATACGCCCCTGAAACGCTGCCTCTGCAACCAGGGCTGGGGAGAGGGGCTCTCCCCCTGTCCCCCTGGTCCTGTGAAGGCCAAGGAAACGGGGGAGGGGCAAAAGGCACGGGACAATCAGGTGCGTGGCTCGGACCTGAGAGGAGGGCAGAAGCGAGGACCACAGGCCGAAGTTTGCACGGGATCCTGAAATAGCTGGGCCGCACAGGACAGAGGCTGCCAGGAGGCACAGCTGGGCACCCAAACGTGCCTCCTCCCGGCCTCCGCTCACAAGAGCCAATGTAAAGATGATTTTTTAAAAAGCCTTTGCCTGGCCGTCGTGTTTATTTAAGGATAAGATGACCCAACTTTCACTATATTTAGCGCAGGAAAACCTGCAGGTGTTTGACTCGAGGAATGGCTTCGGGTTTTGCTATTAGTTTTGGTCCCCTCCCTTCTGGGTTTCATTGGTCCATGGCTGGGGCAGCTGGCTCGACTCCCCACAGGCCTCCCCAACTCTCTTGGCCTGTGGGGAGGGTCAGTAGCCCTCTGTTATGTAACCTCTGGTTTTAGCGGGGGAAATGTTTCCATTTCGATCCTAATTTAAAATTGTATGCCAACCTCAGTTCAGCAGAGGGGCCCTATGTGAGCTTAGTCAGTTGACTAAAGTTTTCTTTGCAACTAATTGGTCGACTCAGTCCCTTTGGCCTTCATTTTAACCCTCTGTTTCCTGACCAGAGATCGGGAGTTGTGTCCATTCCCCTTCAGAGACTCCTGTCCGACGCTGCATGTTTGTGCCTCAGTGCCCCGCCCTGTGAAACGCACGTGGAAGGGAGAACGTGTGGCCGAGGAGCTGAAGGCCTGAGCCCCGGGGTCAGACACCCTCGGCTGGTCCTGGCTCTGCAGCAGCAGGACATTTGGGTTTCCTCTGGGGCCCTGAACCGCCTGCGCATGGCTGTGAGATTAAAGGCTGGTGCCCAGCACAGGACCTGGAGCTGGGCGATACTCCCCAGTCACAGCAGCAGGCCTGCAGCAGGGCCCCCGCCCACAGCCCCCACCTGAGTCACAAAGGGAAGGTTGTCTCAGAAAAGCTGCTGGCCTGTCCAAGGAATTCCTTTCCTGTATAAGGGAAGCAGATCTATTACCAGGCAACTCAACACCCCTCCGGCCCTTGAGAGGGGCTGGCACAACAATGGTCGTTTATTTATGGGAGTTAGGGTTGCTGTAGTGGGAGGAACAGACCTTGAGTCAGGTCATTGTGCACAGGTCTGCCTCTCAAAAGATACATGACCTTGGGAGGCTCCAGAGTGCTCAGAGCTTCTGGCCCCTCGTCTGTGAAGAGGGACACCCCTACCCTCCACCCAGGTTTCTGAGGCCCGCAAGCTACACACATGTAGTGTGCAGTTGTTAAACCCGAAAGCCTTAGTCAAATGTGAGTGATTGTTCTTCCATTTTCTCACGGCTTAACGTCCACAGGCCCCTGAGCAAACGCTCGCACGCACCCGTGTTGGATGCATTAGAACCGTTCAGGGCAGTCTGGCCCAAGTCTCTGCCCTGCTCTCCCTGCCCCCCCCGCCCCCGCCATGCACACACACCGCAGCTCCGGACCCCTTTCCCTGGTGAGCATCTGAGAGAAGGAGACTGGCCTCTCACGCCTTCTCCTAGGACCACTTTTAAGAAACTGCCCACAGTACAAGGCAGCCTGAGTGGGGACCTGCTCTGATGAAAGGCCCTGGAGCTGATAAGCTTGAGATGCAGTCACAGCGAGAACAGGCAGGCGGAGTGGCTGGAGCTGGGTGAGGCATGGCCGGCCTGGGCGTGACTCTGGCCTCCACACATGGCCCCGCCTCCCTGGCTCTTTGACAGGCTCGCAGAAATCTGCCCTGCGAGAGGGACGCCACTCAAGTGGCGAGAGACCTCTGGTTCGTCTGCCAGGCCCGCACATTCTTCCAGATGGCCTTTTCCCCGGAAGAGGGACACAGGCCTGTGGCAGAGGAGAGAGCATGGGACCGGGAGGCAGGAAACCAGCACGGTGGCCCCAGTTCTGCTGTTGTCACTTGGGGCAGGGGGTCACTTGATCTCACCGACATCCCCTTCAGCTTTTGAGCAGGTGTGGCAGGTGAACCGGACACTGACTGCAACGCCATCCAACTTCTTACTCTGTTCCAGACTGGGCTGCACCCTTGGCTTCTTTCTCCTTGGCCTTGCTCCCCACACTTCCCCTCCGTGGGTTGCTTGGTAAACCCTCTGAGGTCCTGTCGATGCTCTTAGCATCTTCCAGCAGATAAGAATCCCAAATGACAACCAAGCACGTTACTATCCTATCCAAGTCGCTACTTGGACAGTGAAGGAGAAAAAATAAAAATGGCCCAGTAATTGAACATGTATCGATACTTCCGGAGTTCTGGAGATACTGGTGCTGATGGGCATACTGCTCCAATGCTGAGGCATTAACAATTGAAGGTGACTTGGGAGAAGTTCCACCGAACGCCCAATGAGAAAGTCTACTGTGGGTGTTAGGTGGGTGGGGAATTCAGAGGGTGAGGGCCACAGCTGTAATGACCTTGTTCAGGAGGTCAAGGGCACTCGTGGCCAACAGTGTTGGTGCCCAGGTGATGATGACTCATTCTGGGGAACTGGGAAGTTATACATGCACATTGATCTGCACGTGAATATTGGCCTGGACAAGGCCAGACTACAGTGATCGCTGGCACAGTGATGGACGCACAGCACACCTTCTAGTTGCCGGTGGCCCAGGTCCAAGTCCCCCATGGACAAAAACACCGAGTTCAGCATCTGAAGCACCAAATCTCTCCAGTTGGGTTGGGGAGGGCAGGCAGGGGAAAACGAAACACACAGGTGCGCCCAGTCTAGGTTTAGAACTGATACTGCCCAGCAAGCGCACTGACGGAAACGGCTGGACGGATGGCAGCTCAGCTGGGTTTGGGGTGGCTCTCTGCGGGGCAGGGTGCGTGGACGGGGCTGCGTGCTCTGGAATGGGAAGGAGGCCCGAGGAGAAGAGGAGGCAGACGGCTGGGAAGGTAGACGGGAGGCGTCTGGGAAGGGCCCCTCACCCCTGAGTCCGACATCAGCCCCTGCACAGTAAGGTGTGTATGAGTGCGCACAGGCACACCTGTTTCAGAAAGAGCCTTGATGAATCCAGGAAAAGGAGGGGAGGGGAGCGAGGACACTGGTGAAATGGCCCACGGCAGCGTGGAAGGCAACACCCAAATGGCAGAGTCGAGGAACACTGCAGCAGGAGCCAGCCGCTGGCTCCTGGGCACAGGTTAACAGCATCCGGAAATCACTCTTTGATTTGGGCCCCGTTGTGTGATCACAGGAAGAGTCACTGCAACCTCCGTGAGCTGTTCTGGATCCAAAGCAGAGCCAGTATGAGGAGAGGCCCACAACAGAGGTGGGGGGGGGGGGGGGGGCTGCAGGAAGGGCCTTGGGCAGGAAGGGTCAGTGCACACACACTACAGAGTGGTCTGGAAGAGGGCCCCATGCGCACTGGGTTCTGGAGACGGCGTCCTCACACTGACAGGTTTGAGGAGCAGCAACAGGCAGGTCGAAGGCAAGGGGGTGAAGAGTTTTTATGCAGACATATGCTTTTTGATGACCATTACAGAAAACACCACAGGAGTAAAAGCAGTTCAGCTGCAGAACTGAGGCCCTGCACAGGGCAGGGCTGGGGGGTGCGGGGGTGGTTGTGAATTGGACCAGAGGAATCAGGAAGCAAGCTGGTCACCAGGCAGGGTCTATAGTCTCTCTTTATACCCATCCCCATGTCATCTACCAACTACTCAAATGTCACCTGTTCACGTCTAGCCTATTTTAAAATGTGAAGAAACCACAGTAGCAGTTCTTATTGAGAGGGGTTTGGGGCCAAGGTCAGGCTGATGAGAACCTAGCTTTTAGCCCTGAATCACACAAGACTACACCACTGAACGTGGGCATTAGCTGGAGGCTGCAGACCATAAAAAAGCTCAGTTTAAATTAGTCAGGCACCTTGGGGAGGAGTCCAGATAGTAAGGGAATGATGAGCCCCAAGGCGACCCTACACCCCCCCCCAGAGAAAGCACCGGCTTCAGAGGTGTGTCCAAGCCTGCTTTTGATAACTACCCACCACCATGAGGCATCTTCCCTGAAACATAAAGTAACTTCACCATGGAAGCGACACACAAAGGAATGAACACAGTAAGGTCTCATAACTGACAAGGTGGTGTGTTTTTTTTAAATATATCTTTATTTCTCAAACTCAAAGCTCTATTTCATCAAGTTCTAATACATTTTGCATTGATAAATGATTTTACCTGCTTCACGTAGGAAGGTCAGTGACCATCGCACCAAAGAGGAACCCTCAGGCATCCTAGTCAATTACCATCTCAAAGTCTATGTGTACCTAGTGAAACAAAAGCTTCCAATTTAGTCTAACCTAACAAGTATCTTACTTTTGAACTGTATTAATTTGGAAGTTAATGGATAAAAAAAATCTTAATTTTCCTAAAGCAGCTATTTTTTTTTTCATTCATTAAAAAAAAAAACACAACAAAACCAGATGGCTTGAGTTTTTAAACACCCACAGATCCGTGTGATGGAATGACTTCCTCTTTAGCGGACGGTCTTCTCACCTTGCTGGGCGAACACACACAGCAGTTTGCGACAACTCGCACCAACCCAGGCAAAACTCCAAGCATTTTCTTTTGCTGACACTTCGCCGTTTTTGTTTTGTTTTGTTTTTCTGTTTGTTTTTATTTTTATAAAGTGATAGGTCAATAAGGTTTAGAACTTGAACTCACAAAAAAAGCATTTTCTTTCCTGATCCTCACCTTGAAGTCTCCACAAATAATCCTGAAAAGTTGTCAGGACTTTTTAAATATACCACCTTCCTCCCAAACACACACACACACACACACACACACCCCTCCCCTGGTCTTCTGAATGTAACTGGCGGAATTGGAGTATGTTCCAAGGTCAGCTGTGACATTCTGGTCTCTGCCAGATTAAGGGTGCGAATTTAACCTTGGCCACTGGAAGTTCTCTCACCTTACAGAACCCCCCCAAAGGCTTCTCTTTCACGGGAAGCCCCAGGCAGACACCCCAAGAGTCACAGCCCTGATGGGCATTGGGGTCTCTCCTCACAAATGGGTCACTATCATTTAGTCTCTAGAAGAGGACATTTGAGCTCAGAATCCAGCTGCACCCTAAAACAAGGCAGCAGCCCCAGAAAGTTAACAAGAAGGGAGGCGTTCCGAAAGTTAGGAAGTTGCTTTTGAGTGGCACCACTTCCCAAAGTTAAGAAAGCAGTACTAGTTCCAGTCCTCATCTACCAAGAAGGTAAGGGGCCATTGCTGGCAGGGAGGCCAAAGAACAAGCAGATTTGGGCTTTAGCCATTTGCTTGCTAATGCATCACACCAAAAACACAAAGAACTCCATAGGTTCACACACAGCTCACTGTAACTCCCATCTCCAGGGGAAAATCAAACTCGGGGCGGTGGGGGGACTTAAATGTCAAACCACAAGTTGCCAAATAGCAGAATCCCAGCGTCTTTCCTTCCCAGACTCCCCCACCCACCAGTTCCCCAGGTTGTGGCTCACGCCATATCCCACAAGTGGTCAGGAGGAACCCTGATGCAAAGGTGTTGGTGTCATGGAGTTTGGTTTCAGAGTTGCACTTACTGAGTGAAGAATAGTGTCTCACTGCCAAGGTGAGGTTTAAGGGTGAGGCTGGAGCTCAGGGCCAGGAACTCAGCGTGCACCCTCTGCCAACACAAGGGAAAGGTGCTGTTTGAATCTCACTGCTGTTGACCTGATTCCAAGACGCAGGCTGGGGTAACGAGCTGCACACTTGCAGAAAGCATCAGAAAACTGTTCAGAGCCCTGAAGCAAATGAGACTGCTTAAATGTATGCAAGAACTTGCACTTGAACTTTAGTGCCCTTGGCCACTGCCAAGTTTCATGTTACTCAACACACAGAAAAGAACCATCACAGGACTCAGTACAGCTTCAGAGTACCTGGTGCTTGTGAGCCACATGAAAGGCAGGTTTCAGCTAGAATTTCCAGACACCTGAAATTCAAGGTTACCTGGTCTAGTCGGAGGCAGGCAAAAGGCTCACAGAGCAGGTGGAGATACCACTAGCCCTGGGTGATATATCACAAGTACAGCTTTGGTCAGTGTGGCTTTGTACCCTGATGGTTCTAGAACATGCCTGCTCTCAAACTCCAGAACAGCTGGGCTGCCTAAGGGCTTCAGGTGAAGAGACCGCCAAGCTGGTCATCTTGCAATGGTGGGAAAGGACTGGAGGCTGGAGACTCCTAGTATCTTCTGTGCTTCCCTCCACTCTCAAAGGACTAGTTCCGGCCGGGGGTGGGGGTGGGGGGGGGGGAGAAAACAAGCAGAAAGAGCTCCAAGGACGAACTGACGTTTAATGGCCTGACGCGGTTCTGGTCCCTCCTTCTGGAGCCTCACTGCCCAGTCCCCCACACCTCCTGGTGGGTGCCATCCCGACTGCCAGTGGCGAGTGCTTTTGTTGGCAGCTCCATCACATCTCAAAGCTTTGGTTAAACAGATCTGTCATTTTTGAGCAAACAGGTGGCCATCTGACCACAATGGCAGTCTATTAAGGTCATGGATGACCATGTTGTTTTCAAAGGTGGGATTCACTCTTCTTTCCTTGCCCCCTTCTAACACCGAAGCACCCTGCCCCTCCCCACCAATGTCGAACTGGCCTTGACTCAAAGCCAGTGCATTCAGACATGACTGGCTCCCAGAGAAACAGGAACTGGTTACACCGAGAAGTGGCTTCTCTTCACCTCATGCAGCACAACCTGGACACCAGCTAAGCCTCGGGGCCCAGCCAGGCCCCACCTGCGTTTTAAGAGGACCAAGACACCACATTCTAGAAAAGAAACCCTGAAAATATAATCTTCAAATAAGGTAAACCACTTGTTTTCTATTCAGCATTTCTGTAAGAAGGCAGCTTCATTGCTTATTAAAGCAAGGAGGAAGCACTCACTCAGGGCTGGGGTTTGCACGGCCGTGGGACAAATTTAAACTCAGGACCATGGGCCAGATGGAACCACCGCCGAAACCAGGCTGGCTGGCAAGATGGGGTCTCTTCGCCCTGGACACCCTGAAGTGATGCTTGCTAAGAAATCACACCAAAAATTTCAAAAACACAAAATCCCTTAACTTAATCTACTGGGAAAGCAGCAGCCTAGAGCGCTCCCGTTTGCTAAGCTTGCTTTCGACTAGAGGTTAATACTGTTCTCCTTCTAAAGTGCAGAATATAAACAGGTGTGGTCAAATCTACCAGCGTCAGGAGGCTCATTCTTCATTCACACCACTGACCCCCAGACACGCCAGCACTGACCGCCGCAGGGCGGCCATCACACACGGGCCCGGCTGGGGGTACAGCTCTCTGCCTCATGCCCAGCGCGGGGGCAGCGAGTCCCATTCTAAAGCAAAGTTAAGCCAAAGATATCTGCTCACAAGGGCAGATCACTCCACAGGCTGCCCAGTTTTATTGAAATTCCTGAATTTATTTGCTGTCAAAAAAAGAAGAAAAAAAAAAACCTGGAGAAGGAAATCACTACTTTTGAACAACAAAAAAAAAACCAAAACAAAACAATCAGCCCAAGTACTCCAGAAAAACAGCTTGTCATACTTGGAATGTGACCAGAACGGGTTTCCGGTGAAAACACAGGGAGACCCTCACACGTCAGTTACTCAAGTGACCCCAGACTGGGCACAACCCTCAGTCTGAGGAAGAGAAAAACAAAGGTGACGAGCCACTGAGGGAAAAAGAAGCATCAGTCATAAAAATTCCTTAAAGAAAAGCGGACATTCAGGTTTCCTATGTACAATCACTCCCACCCCCACCACAGCTCTAGTTTAACATTATGTTCCACGTTTTATTTTTTTCAAGTGACATGTCACGCAGAGACCTTCTTTTCTTCCTCTCAGCCATCTCACACAATTCCTCGCAGGAGCACGGCATCTAACCTGTGGGGCACTCCGGCCAGACAGCCGTTCGGTGGCAGCTGGCTCTGGTTCACCGGTGAGAGGAGTCCTGGGCTCTGCCCACACGGAGCAGCACACGCCAGCGCCGTCCCGGAGACGCAAGCAACTGAAGTCACGGGAGCACCCTCACCGTTGCCACGTTCTGCCTGCCTACAACTGATGCAAGGAAGTAGACCATCGGCACAACTTTCACGGGACTGAGCGTCCCCAGCGGGCGCCGGCAGAGCCTTCTCTAGGCCCCAGTGAGAAGACAAGTGGGTCCGTGCTTCTCACACTCCGCCCGGGCGGTTCCCCAACCTGGGGCACCGCACAGAGCTCGGACCTCCCGGCGCTCACGTGGGGGACACGATGGGGTAGTGTCTGTCTCGGAAAGATGCGGGTAGGCCGTACTTCCTACAGCTTTTTCCAAAGTGGCACTGGAACAATGGGTCCCTTTAGGGTTGGCTCATGACACACGGCAGACCATGCCAATGGGCACACAAAGAAAACAAAGAAGAATCAGAGCTGAGTTCCCCTTTAAGAGGCAAACACCTACATCTAGAAGGAGGCTCCCCTACCTGAGAGCCCCGGCCCTACGGGGTTCCCGCTGTGGAAACCCTCAGGTCTCAAGGTTAGTTACAAGGCAGCCAGGTGGGGTAGGGCTGGCTGTAGGTCACTGGAGGCTGGGCGACGTAGTAGTTGTTGAAGTTGCCGTCGCTGACGTAGGGAGCTGGCTGGTAGTAGCAGGTGACGTTGGTGGCGCTGGGGATGATGTTCTGCTCGGCCAGCACGCGCAGGGCCAGGAGGGAGATGAGGTTCAGGGTCTGCCTGCGCTCGTGCCCCATGAGGCACACGGTGCTCTCGTTCACGACCCTGCGCAGGATCATGAGGTAGTCGTACTTGCTCCTCTCCCCTTCGGCAAAGTGGTTCTGCAGGTAGGTCTCCAGCTTCCTCTGCTGCTCCAGGATGTCCGGGAAGTCGATGAAGAACCTGGAGCACATGTAGCGCTCCAGGGTTTTGATCTCCTCCTGGTCTGCGGGCCTGAAGTCCCGCACGAGGAGGTTGCTGTACTTGAGCAGCCCCCCGCCCCGGATCTCCTCGGGGTTCTTGGTGGCGATCAGTCTGTTCTGCAGGTGGTCGAAGGCTTCCTCGAAGTCCCCGTACATGCTCTCCCCGATCACGGTGGGGTGCAGGTGCTCGGAGATGGGGTGGCTGGAGCAGTCATAGAAAAAGAGCAGAGAGTCCAGGATGATCTGGAAGGAGTCCACGCTGAACTCGAACTGGCGCCGGATGGAGTCGACGAACTTCAGCTCCACATTCCTGCCGTTCTTGTTGGAGAGGGAGATGAGGCTCCAGCGGTCAGGGTCTGCGCACACCTTCACCAGCTTCTGCACGTAGGCCTCCTTCAGGGTGACCGGGCTGATCTTGAGCTTGCTCACGCCCTCCGGCAGGAAGTTCAGGAGGGAGCACAGCACCACATCCCTGACCAGCTGGAACTCGACCTCGGTGGGAAGGGCCACGTGGAAGATGAGGTCCAGGTCTTTGTACCCCAAGCCGTTGTCTTTGACCAAGACGTGGCCCGCGGCGGAGCCGTTCAGCCGGACGTCCTGCACTTTGATGCCTGCCTCCTCCAGCTGGCTGCGGACGGTCTGGACGATGTCCCTCAGGGTCATCTCCAAGGTTGGAAAGTTGCCTCGCCCGTGGATGGGTACGACCTCGGTCAGGACTTCATGCAGCCGGCTAACCTGGTCCCAGTTGAGCACGCTGAAGGACACGCAGTCCCTGGTGCTGCTGCTCTCCTCTGCCATTGTGGGGGGCGTTCTGGCCAGGGACACTGAAAGTGAGGGGTGAGAAACAAAGTTAGGGTTCGCCTCCACTGGCAAAGCAGCTCGGGGGACTCAGGGACGATGCTGAGTTTTCTCTGAACCTTTTCCTGTAAATACTGGTGAGTGGATCTGCCGCTGGGTGTTGCTGTGAGGGTTAAATGAGTTAAATACGTAAACAACAGTGCCTTCAGGAAGTAAGGCCAAGATCCACACTTTTCTATACCAAATTGGGCAACTTCATCATCTTGTTTTATGTGCTTGTTTTGTTTCACTTGTTTGGTCCATGTCACGGGGCAGGGTCAGGTTGGGCTAGTTTGTGCGAAGGGAAGGAGACAAACTCATTACACCAAGTAACCTGGACACAACCTCAGCCAACAGAGGGCCTAAGGGCTCTGCTAAGTTTCCTTGGTTTCCGTGAAAACCACCTCTCTTGCCCTTGGCTCCCTCCCTGCACCTTGAACTGGCTGACACCTAGGCCACATGCAGAACATAGCAGCCCCAAGAAGGGACGCCCCTCACTCCATGACGAGATGAGTTCGCAACTCTGGGCCACAGCCACCTGAGACGAGAGAGTCCGGTCAGCACTGCACACACTGACATCCTGTTAGCAAGAGCCCACGTCCTTCTCCCGAATGGGAGTGGCCTGCCCTCTGCGAGGCACTCTCGTTACCCAGGGCGGGACCGGGGAGCTGTGTGAGTGACAAGATTCCTGGGTTACCAGGGGTCAGGTCGGCTCTGCAGTGGAAGGCCTCTGCCCAGCACAGAGGCCTGTACAGCATGCAGGAAACCCTCAGGGGAGTCAACCTCAACTGCATTTTGAAAACTAGTCCCTTGAAACTACCCGAGGAGCCGAAAGCCTGCACTCAGAAGTAGGAGAAAAACATCACTGCTCACACTTGACCTGTTAGAGCCACAAAGTCACCAAAGCTATGTTCGACTAAGTTATGCTTTGCAGAAAATGAAAACCAACAGATACCCAGACATCGAAATAGCATGTTAAAAAATGCTGATGTGGTAGGGGCAAGGTGCCTGTGGACCCACGGGGGGTCAAACATTAGCTAGGGATGGAGGGGCTCAACCCAAGGTCAAGGTGCTATCCTCAGACGGCACAGTGAACGGTCCTCCCTCCCTCTTCACCATTCTGGCTTCCTAGACACACGCCAAGTCCGCTCAGTGACCTCTGCGGTTGCCCATCTGGAAGCTGCTGGTCCTGCATGAGCATCCGGCACATGCTGACCTGGGGCTCAACCTGGAGTTGTAGTCTTGCCCTGGGGCTGGGGGTCCTTGCCTCACCTACCCCGCTCCCATCAACAGGTGGCTGTCCGTGTCGGGGAACCCTGGATGCAGTGGGCTGAGCTTTCCCGGAGCTGCCCGCTGAGGAGGTGGGTGAGAACACAACCCAGGCAGTGTGCGGCAGAGAGAAAATGTAACGTAAAGGTGGACTACAGAGGTGTCCTCTGACTGGGGTGAACAGGAAGACCTCTTATGAGGGCGGGACACAAGACAACTGCGAGGTAACATGAGCTCATGGCTGGAATTGAGGGGCCGAGGCAGCTCGCGGCCAAGACCTGGCTGCGGCCAGTCTGGCCCTCCGCGCCCTCCTCAGGCCGATCACAGGCTCCCGTTCTCACGTAGGTTAAGGGACTGAATTGGCTTGGTCGGAGCTGGGAAGGTTGAGCTCCAGGAGGACCAGTCTGAGGGTGATGCTCTTCTGCTTGCCACAGAAAAGTCATGCCAACGGGGAGGTAAAGTTTCCCCTCAAACCTGTTTGGACGACATTAAAAAGCCCTCAGCTACCTGGACCACCCTGCCACAGCACTAAGCTCAGGAGACCAGGCAGAATTTGTGAGGAAATACTTAATGCTTAATGTAGCTGGCGTTTGGCATCGGGTCAAATTGGAGACGGCAGTTTTCCTTCCTAACGTGCTTTGTGGGCACCGTTCTCTCCGCCCCTTTCGTGATGAGCATGCAGTGCACCTGTGCCTGTTACGCAGGGCACGACCCAGCCCAGTGCTGGGTGTGCTGGACCACAGAAAGGTGTGGCGGGTGCTGTGCTTTGAGCCACTGCTAAGCCAGCCGTGATTTGGTGACACAGGGGTCAGTCAGGTGTGCTGATCTACCTGTAAAAATATAAGTGGGGAGCTGCGATCCAACCCAACACTTGGAGTAGAAGGAACAATTAATTTTAATAAAATCGCCAGGAAGAACCTGAGTCATGGTGCAGAGAATAACGGTAGGGATGGCTCTTGACTCATGCCTTTCTTTCTAAGGAGTCATTAAAAAAAGGAGCTGTGGCAAGTCAAAGGCAGAACACCCCACCTCTGGAACAGGGATTCTTAACTTCAGAGGAGGGGCACTGAGACCAGGGAGGACCTGAAGAAAGCTATCACGCCTCCTTCCGGGGGAGAGAAAGGCACAGGCAGGAGAGGTTTCGTATATTTTTAAACCTCTGAACTTGCAGTGGGTTCAAAGTTAGAAGCTGTTTTAGGCTGAACATTGGTAAGGTTCACGCGGGAGGAGGGGCGGGAGCAGCCAGAAAGGTCACGGGAAACAGAGATGGCGTGGGCCCCACTGGAGGGATCGGGAAGCCACCACCACTGGGATGCTGGCGTGGAAAGCAGACAAATCGGTGGGAGGGAGTTTTTAAATCGAGGAATAGAATCTATAAATAAGGGAAGTCAGTATATAATAAAGGAGCCACTTCTGAATAATAAAGGGGAAAAATCGTGGGACATCTGGTTAATTAGATTTTTAAAAATAATCTAATTAAGTAAGTTAGTTCTTTACTGTGTGCCAAACTAAGATCTAGATGGATGAATCAAAAACTTCAGTATAAAATATGAAACCCTAAGAGTACTAGGAAAAAAAATGTGGAATTTATAGATTTACATAGAGTAGTTATTCCTCCTCTTTACATCATATAAAACCTACAAGTCGCCCAAACTGATACGTTTGCCTATAGCAAAATTAAAATACATGCATGGTAAAAATGCCACGAAGAAGTTAGAAGACTAAGAAAAAATTTTGTAACATTAGGCAAAGTATTTCTTTCTTCCATGAACAGCGAGCTCCCACAGATCACAAACACTGGAACCCTAACAGAATGGGGGTCACGGGACACGAACAGAGGCTCAGGGTGTGTGACACACCCAACCTCACCCTCAAGGGACAGGCAAGTTAAAACTTCAGTGTGGCCTTGTCACCCATGGGCCTGGCAGAGATCCAGCAGCAGTCACCTCAGGCACAGTGTCCGGGGGTTCTCTCTGGAGAACCACGTGGCACCCCCGGTTTCCAGCGGCTGTACCCGCGGACAGGGCAAAGCTACTCCTAGGCCGTCCGCTGCGGTTTTACCCCAGGGGCACCCTCGCAGGTCTGCACAAGGCTACTCATCGGAGAAGTATTCATAAAGCCCCAGGCGCCAGGTACGCCTTCGTCCGAGAGAATGGTGATGGCTCTGTCTGCATGAGTGTGAAATGCTCATCAAGATTGGGTAATGGAAGAGCAAGTACAAACGTGTGCAAAAGTACAAGCCTGCACTTACACACCCACACTGTCTCTGGAAGGACACACAGTGGTCCGGCCTGCACCAAGGAGCACCTCTCAGTAGGGAGATGGGGGACAAAGGAAGATTTATTTTATCCCTTTTGAATTTAGAGCCGACACACGTGTTAGTTGAGAAAAGTTAGTTGAAATCATATTCTCTGTGTTCTGAAGTCTTTCCCCTGTGAGCCTCCTACCTTATTTCTTTCCGTTCCCCTCCTAGCCCTCCTGCCACCCCCATAACCACGGGATGCAACCACACACACTCAGACACTCCCCTCCAAGCCTTAACTGCTGACCTCCGCAGGGGTGGGCAGGGGAGGAGGGACCGGTTTGCTGTAGAATGGCTTTCGGTCAAGTGTCTACTTAACACTGCATAAAAGAAGATGTCTACTGCTTACCCAAAATAAATAAAAATAACCCCCCAAACTTTCAAAATAATGGATAAGCCATCCCATCTAGTTCCACTCTATGTTTGTTATCCAAAAATCTTTCAGTGGTTTTGTAAGAATTGCTATTTCTCATTTCAGATGTAGTACAGCCACCTTCGAATGACACTGTTATGCTGGTGATGAGCTACAACTGCAAGAACCGTAATAAATGCAAGAAGCACTTTTTCAAGACTCCTAAGACACCTGTGGTTGGCTTCTTCCCTGTCACCTCTGACACGTGCACTCCAATGGCGTTAACTCAATCTTCAGAAAAGAGCAGTGCGTGCACGAGCACAGTGCGGGGCGTGACCAGTGCCAAGCCCACGGTGGGGTTTTTAATTCCCCCAGTTCACCACGAATGAGACACGATTTAGAGCTTGAGCTCCTGAAGGCGCACGTTCAGGCTGAGTTCATGTTCGGTCCTTCGCTCGTTAAGAGAACCCAAAACGAGTTATGGAAGCCTAGTAGGAAGGAATCCTGTTTTCCCTCACCCACCCGATTTTGAACATCAGAAGCACATCTTCCAGGTCCTCAGACACACACTGGCATCCCCAGTGAATCCAAGTCACAGGCCCTCGGCGCTCGGAGAACACACCGGAGAGCTGAGTGGCACAGGCTGATTTTAATTAGCTGCTCAAAGTCCACACTGACTTAATCCTTACTCATTCCCAGCTCATGAAAGGCCCTGGTTAAAGGCAAATTCTGGATCAAAAATTCACAAACTAGTGACTAGAAAAAAATCAGTATGATGCCTGGTAAATTCAAACTAAAGTGTTTGATTTTCCCTTTTGCTGCCTGAGAAACAGAGTCATTCTATTTTGCACAGAGGACACTGGGAAGGGTAAGGACAGTCATTTCCCATTGACCTGAGCATCCGGGTACCTTTTTATGATGGAGGATGACCAGCTTCCCACGCAGTTGGAGCTGTTTAATCTTCTAAAGCATTCGACTCATGATGAATGACTATATCTTGGGTAGCCCCAACTTCCTCTTCTTCTATCTCCTGACTGTCCCAGAAGGGTGGGACACACACATGA